TGTTTTGTAAAAAAATATGCCACTAGTAGAAAGTGCAAAAGAAGAAAAAATAGTTGAAAAAACGAAAAATAAAAATAAAAATATATAGATGAATAAATATCTTATTTTGCTAGTGGAGTGTAAATGACGATAGTGCTTAAAGAATGAGGAAACATTTTTGGGGGTGATTTTATTTGTGAAATTGAAGAATTTGCGCTTAAAGTTAATTATGTGATGTGTTAAAGTGCTTAGGAGGGTTAGTCGCTATTCCTAAATATATCATATCCGTCCTTTAGCCCACATTACGTCCATGAAAAGTCCTAACTAATTTTAGATCGAGCGAGCTTACATTAGAGATTTATATTAAAGGCAAGCTTATGGTACCAATTGCATGCATTTGACTTCTTTGTGAGAGTGAGAGATTTCTTTTATATACAAGTGATTCCTTAAACTATATTTGATCATGAGATTTGGATGTGTGGATTAAACTTACTCTCTTCGCTTTTGTTATGAGGGCACATGTTTTCACGAGGGATAGGTAACATTATTAGACTTCTCTAGGATTTTGGGTGTTCAAGCCATGAGTGAATTGGGACATTGAGTTGGTTTTTGAGGCTAGGATTGTTGTGAGCATGTTGTCTTTGTTTGAATATTTTTGAAGAATGATATAAGTAAAGGGAAGTGTATGTGATTGCATATGCTAGATTTTAATTGTTGTTATCAACCCTGGTCATTGGTGTAGAGTGCTCAAAGATAGAGTAGTTTGTTAGTTGACTCGAGGATGAGCAATGTTTAAGTGTGGGGTGTTGATATTCGGCTTAAAGTATACATATTTTTATGTATATTGTCTCGCATTGTGCTCATGTCTCGTAGATTTTGGATGTATAATATAATGATTTGTGCTAATTTGTAGTATTTCTATATGTAGGAATCATTCAGATGCAATTTGGGACGAAAGTGTGCGAATTAGAGCAAATGCGAAGAAAAGGCAAAAGTGCATATTGAGCTCCATAGGCGGCGTGGGGCGCTACCTGTGGCCTAGTTTCCAGAAGCATAAAATATCCAGCGCCCCACGCTACTCTGGGCGCTGATGACGGGAACTTGTGCTATATCGCCCGGGACAAGGTTATTTTGGTCCTACACGCTCCTAACTCATATAAAAGGGGTCCTAAAGCCTATTTTGAAAAGGGAGAATGTTTTTTAAAGGAACTTTTGACCAGAGGAGCACGTTTTTAAGAGGAAAACACAAGCACAGAGCCGCCGTGGAGGCCGGAATTCATCATATTCCATCTTTCTTCCGCCAAACTTAGTAATTTTTATGTTTCTTTGTATGATTTGTTGTTTTTTCTACCATGTCTATGTGGAGCTAAACTTCACGTTCTAGGGTTGTGGTTCTTTCATGAATATTGTTATTCAAATATTAATTTTGGCTTCTTAGTATATCGTATTGGTTTATTTATTCAATCCTGCGCTTAATTATTTAATTGCTTAATCACCAATTGAATACTATCTACAAATCTAGAATTGAACTCGAAAGTGAAAATTCTAGGTTGCACATAGGATTGAGTAGAGCAAGTTCTTGAATCCGGGCATCGGGGAATGAATTCGCGATTAGGATAGAAATATACCTAATTGCATTGCTTGGTTGATGTATAGGAATTATAAATGTGTCCTTGTTGATTCTAACTCCATAGACATATAGGCGTTAGGTTGGTTGAATAGGCAAGTAAGAACTCGGCAGATTCTTATGACCAATATTAACCCTGTCAACCAATAAACTAGATAAATTAGTTAGTCAATTCAATTGAAGAATACAATAGGAATGTTAGATAGCCCATAACTCTAGATCGTTTTCACTACATTGAATCATAAAAACCTGCTTTTCCCTTGTTCAGAGTTCACTATTTATTTTCCTTTATTTTATTAGCTTAGAATCAAATATTTCTAGGTTTAATTCTTGTTTAGATAATTAGGATAGTCTTTTTTAGTTAATAGTTAATCACAAGTCCTCGTGGGTTCGACATCCGACTTCTAGTCACTTTATTACTTGACGATCGCGTATACTTGTGTGTGCGTATAGCCGCAACATTTCAGTTTTGCCAGGTCTTTCGAATTTTTCGGGTTTTTTTTGTTATATAAATATTATTTCAATCTTACTTTGTTAAAGTATAGATAAAGTTTTGATAAATGAATATATTCTTAGTAAAAATTGAAAAAATAACTAATATATGATCTATTAAAATATTCTTATGAGAGAATTATTTTTAGCAAATATGATAGTTATTTTCTCAGTCGTCTAACAATAATTTTTCATTGATGTACGCTTTCAAGTATAACCGCATTTACTAATTAAACATAAAAATTATGTAATACCTAAATAATAATATATTATATTTAATTTTAAATGATCGAATACCATTTCAAATTTGAGAAAGATATAAGCAATCTTGACATATAAATATGGAAGAACAAAGAGATGATTGATGCATTTCAATAACACTTGATAAGAAAGTGATACAATCCATTATTTAAGGTAAATAAAAATGAATGAATGTCATAGTTCTATTAAATATTACATCCTATGAGAGGATCCCAAATATTTCTAGACATTTTAAAGGAAATTCAATATAAAGTCTTAAAAAAATATATAAAAATTATATATTTATATGTCGGTTTGGTTCGAGTTTTCTTACCGAACACTAAACTAAATCAAATGAAATCTAATCGGGTCTTTTAGTCAATTTGGCTTTGCTTTTTGATTTGGTACGTGTTTCGGTTCTGTTTGAAACATCCCTAATTTGTGTGTGTTTGTGTATATGCACATAACTGTCATGCCCTGATTCTCTAGCACGGTAAATGGCACCAAATGCCAAGAAGTCATCGTGACTAGAATGGATCTACTGCGTTATGACCCTTTTTATTTTTTTTTATTTTTTTTTACATATGAGAGATTTACTTTACATGTAAAGATATGTATTTTACACATGAGATCTAAAAACGTTATTTTCTTAATTTGAAATTGTAAAGGGATATGATGCACAAATCACACCAATTTTTAGGTCCGAAATTCTACAATTTATGTCTTTTCGAAATTTTCAAACTTCTTTAACGTGTTCGTTCATAATAATTCACTTGCTTATGATAATTCTAAAAAGAAATTAAACAATCAATGTATTCAAGTATAAAAGATACTCCCTCCGGTCCAAAATAAGTGATTTTTTGATGTTTTCACACAGATTAAGAAATCCACCTTTTAGCATTAATTAGCAATAGAATTGACCATATTAACCTTTACTATTTCATATAAACACTCCTAACACATATTTCAACATTATTTACTCCAAGGACAATGTAGGAAAAAAATAATTAATTCATTCTTGAAATCTGAAAAAATCACTTATTTTGGACCACAAGAAAAAGGCCAAAAAATCACTTATTTTGAACCGGAGAAAGTAACTCTTTACTCTTGTTTTGTTTTAAAACATTGAAGTGAAAATTGAGGCTGTAGAAATAATCCTAAATCTTGTTTGTTTAGTTGAATTCGAGCACGAGTCAGTAATAAATCTTACTTTGGCATTAAGAAAGTCCTTGATTTTGACTTTATCAGTAGTGAGGATTTGGGTTCTGTCATCTGTGGACTGATCCATTTTCGAACTTTATTGGGTGAATTACTCCCTAAGTTCGTTTGTGTTTTACTCCGTTTTGACTGGACGTATAGAGTTAGACAATAGGACAAAGTGAAAAGTCACGACAATCGGGCGCCATACGTCACTTACATATTATTTGATTTTTTCAGTCCAAAATTTTCACGGTATTAGCCAGTTTTTCGGACTGGTACAATCAAAAATAGTCAGCGTTTATCAAATCAATGAAAATAGCCACCGTTTTGCTGCAATGAGACCGGTCTAGCATATATACGTGAGTTCGTGCTACTGTGTATGAACTCCAGCATATTATGCTGGACCGGTATATTTTGCTGGCTCCAGTATAATATACTGGAGACTGGAGCACTGGTGCTCCAAACTCCAGTATATTATACTGGACCATTATACTTGCTGGAACTCCAGTATATTATGCTGGAGTTCTAGTGTACTTATGCTGGAACTCCATCATATTATGCTGGAGTTCCAGCATACTATCCTGGAACTCCAGTATAATATGTGGGAGTTCAAGTATACTTATGCTGGAACTCCAGCATAATATACTGGAGTATTTTTCAGGTTTTGAACAATGTTTTTGCTCAGATTTATCTTTACATAAAAAGTGGCTAAATTTCGATTACTTTTGAAATTGGGCTATTTTTGAACGACCAGTTGTAAATCTGGCTATTTTTAAAAATCACCCGATTTTTCATGAAACTAGTATATGTCAACCAACAATATAAAAGAGTGACCTACATATTTGAAGGTTCTTTACACAAATAGCCAGTGTAATTTACTGTTTATTTTTTCTAGCTAGTATACATAGTTTATATAATAATTATACATAATTATACATATAGCATATATTCGCTAGCTATTTTAAATTAAACTCTAGGCGGATGTTTAAGTTGATTCTCTAGAATACCTCTAGCTATGTCAGATTATCAGAGGACTATTAATGCTCCAGTTTACAAAATAGGGACGAGTTTGAGTAAATCTCAAACTTAAGGGACTACTTCGAACCTTTTCTCCAGTTTTTATCCTAAACTCAGAAGTCCAAACCAACTCACTACAAAAGTCAACATTTTTTCGTAACCAAATATCATATTTTGTTATGTTCTCTGTAACAACAATTTCCTATAATAGACAAAAATATTCGGAATAAACGAGACTGTTATAGATAAGTTTGACTGTATATACGATTATACATATATTATAATCGAGAAATTAAAACCGAAATAATGTATAGAATCGCATCGCACTAGCTATGTCAGATCGTCATAGGACTATTAATGCTCCAACTCACAAAATAGGGATGAGTTTGAGTAAATCTAAAACTTAAAGGGACTATTTTGAACCTTTTCTCCAGTTTTTATCCTAAACTCAAAAGTCCAAAACCCAAACTCATCACTCTTCTTCCCACTTTCTTCCTCTGAAAAAAATTGAGTGCAAAGCGATGAATGCAATGGGAATAGGAGCAGCTAATTGGTTAAAGGGAAGTGGCACATTATTACTTTCTTGCCGCACAAATTCAATTACTGCTATTGCTTCACGCTCAAGGCCAAGTTATTGTTCCTCCTCCTTATTGCACCATAAAAATAATAATACCATTTTCAGCACCAATTGTCACAAAATTGGTCACTGGAACAATCATAACACAAAATTATGCTTCAATTTCTACTATACGGCCCCATCAAATGTGAGTGCAACAGAAAAAGATTCTTTGTTAGAGGAAGATGAGGAGACGAAGCTGAGGAAGATTAAGGATGCGGCTAATACATTGGACATTAGGGTTGGGCGAATACTTAAGGCCTGGAGGCACGAGGAGGCTGATTCGCTTTATGTTGAAGAGGTTGATGTTGGTGAGGCTGAGCCCAGAATTATATGTAGTGGGCTTGTTAAATATGTGCCTCTTGACCATCTTCAGGTACCTGTCCTTATGATGCATCTATTTCTTTACAACGTGTTTGGATGGTTGTTACATATTGTTTCATAGTGTATCGTATTGTATTGGATTATACTGTATCGTTTGATAAGTACAATATTTGCCGTTGTTTCATGATGTCACGTACCGGCAATATGAAGAATAAACTTGCAGTATTACAAAGAAAAATTATGGTACAGGTTAGAATTATTATATAAAAAGGTAGGGTAAAGAATTATTTAACAGTAATAAAGGGCAAGATGAGAGAAAAAAATAAGTTTACGACGCGACCGCACCAAATCGGTCGTTACATAAAGTGGCACTTTTCATCGTTACGTAATGACGAATTTAATGATACGATATATTTTCTAGTTTTGGACAATTTTTGTCAACAAACATTTTCAGTTTTGTATTTTTGAGTACTTTAATTAAGAATATTAGAGTCTATGGCTCTATACACTAGCTAGTACGGAATAAACCGAAGTTACCGAACCGACTAAACTGAAACCGAAAGGAGAAAAACTGAACCATACCGAATTTAATTAGGTACGGTATTGGTATAAGATTTTAAGAAACCGAATACCGAAAATACCGAACCGAAATGTCTAAATACCGTACCGTACCGACCGACGAACACCCCTACTTTAGACCATAGGTTAGTTTGGTGAGGTTGGCAAAATAATGCTTCTAAACTATCTTTTGATTGGTTCTTCCAATAATATAGAATAAAATTTAAGTAATAATCAAAACAAACATTGTATTTAATGTAACAATACGATACAATACAATAGGTAACAACTATCCAAACAAGTTGTTAGTAGTTTTAAGTTCTGCGCATTGATAGTATAAAGATTTTTCAACACTATTAGCTAAAAATTGGCCAGTAATAATAGGTAATTCTTTCTATCAAGCATAATATGATAACCTGATAAATAGAGTGAGAACTCACTATAAACAATTAACTTACAATGATAGTGTAAAAAAGAATTTAAAGTGTCGGGGTTGTTCGGTTGCTGGTTAGTTATGCAAGGTTCAATTATGCAGGAATTAGTAAGGCAGGGATTAGTTGTTCCATCTTCTACCCTGCATAAAATAACACATAATTTGACTGATAACTTATACATGTTTTATTTATGTGGGATTGTAAAATGATAATCTAACAGCTCGGTGTGCTAAATTTTATACGAAGCAACTAAAAAGCTACCAGATATGGTATTAACTATGCTAGTTTTAATACATGAATAACTCCCTTTCTAAACCAGCAACCAAACGATCCCTTAATGTATATAATTTTTATCCTATTCCCTAACCCCGTTTAGATAGTTGTATAAGGCAAAATAATTTCCCCTTGAATTCTACATAATTAATACTATGTGAAAATCTGCATTGCTCATGTAATAAAACATTATTTGGTTTCTTGTGTAAAACTATGTGTGCTAATCTACTATCTTCTTTTCAGTATTAAACTCGTCATAACTAGTACTAGTGTAACTTATGTTGGAATTTATGTTTTATTTTATATGACATGGAATGTCGAATAAGAATATGTTTATCAACAATACCTAAATAAGCAATGGTGGAGCCAGGAACTTATATAAGGGGATTAAAAGAAAAATACTAGAATGTCAAAATTGTGATTCGAACTTGTGATCTGAATTACCACAACACTAGAATTTTCTCTTATATTAAGGGGATTCAGTAGTTTATTTATTTTTACCCTATTTGCACAGCATAATTTTCGATAAAAGAGGACTCTATTAACCCCCTTGAACCCTTCCCTCTTTACTAGCTCCGCCGCTGTGGATAAGAGTATTTTTAAAGACAAATGGCCTTAAAGTAGGCAATCCCTGCATTACAATCCATTTATTGTAATTCATCGTATTACAATCACTATATTACTATTCGTCTGCATTATTACACGCCACATAACAGTCCCTGTATCATCTGCCTGCATAACAAGTCTGTGAACCAAATCGGCCCGGTGTTTTAGCTGGCAACCGGAACTGAAATCTTCATTTTGTTACTCTTATGCCTCAACCACTCAGCCATTGCCTAGGGACGATGTTACTCTTCAGTTATTCCTTATTCTGCATCTCTTACTCCAGCAAATATTCCTTTGTACCAAAGCTTTTAGATGAGCCCTTAAACGGAATCTTCATTTTTGCAAACTTAAGCAAAACATTGTTTCGTGATTCTGAATATCTGATGCTCTCTTATTTACATGACAGCAAGTTACCTTGACATGGAAAATGGTCCACTTATCCTCCTTGAGATGACTAGCTCACAATAAGCCATCCACTCTGAATCTTGTCTAAAGATGAAAGCACTTGCTTCTATAGTTGCTATTTTTACCACATGGCTGGTTCCAAAGATACCGTGACTATCCGTTTTCCATTCCGTTGCCTACTCGGTGACAGCTAACTAGCTAACGGTGCAACCTGGCTGCTATCATCTGGCTTACAGAAGTTCCCAAGAGAAGTTTCTTGTCAGCTAACCCTTCTCAAATGTAGTTATTCAATATTCCTCTACGAAGTATTGCTCATGATTTTGTCTGTCTTTTGCATACTTCAACAATTAATAACTTAATAGACTGCATAACTGCTCCATGCAAAGTCTAACATTATCTAAGACTGCAAAAGTGTCCTTGATAAAGTTATTCTGACCTTTCATGGTGCCCTTTCTCAAATTACTTCCTTCCAGATAGTCTCGTTTCAGGTTGCGTCTGTCTATTAACTTGTATGCTTAGCTGTATGAGGAAAAACAATAATTTCCTTATATAATGATAAGGAAAAACAATTTCCACTTATATTTATGGCAAAGTAGGAGCATACGATATTTATGCTCCAGCTTGAGGGGGAGTGTTAAATATGGCAAAAATCTATACTATGTAAATATGGAAAGATTCTCATTAGGTAATTAGGAAATTTTCTAGCAATGTAATTACTGGCCTATAATCTTTTTTCTTTATTTGTAATTCTTGTAAAGGTTATTTGAACCCCAATGGCTTGAGGTTATAATCAAGCAACCTATTCTCCAATTCTTTTCTTCTTTTGGTGTTTTCACAGAGGCATCTCAAAAGGGTTGGACTTTGGATCTTTGTAGATCCTAGTGGATAGGTTTAAATGTAATCACTTGGTTCAAGTATAATAGGAGCACTTTTCTGGTCAAACTGGAAAATACTAGAACTTTATATGTCAGTTTTTTTCTTGGGACCACTCATTTATGATTGTTTGGTTCAGTCTTTTCTCTTTCCTTAATTAATAATATGCTAGTTTTTGGCATATCTTAAGAATAACAAAACTTGCTAATGGTATGTGCATTATAGTGACTCTGTTTCTAACACTCCTAAGCTTCTAAAGTCCATCAATAGTGGCCTGTTTAAGATTCTTACACTTCGTAATTTGAAGAAAGCATTTGATGCATGCTGCAACATGCAGGAAAGGAATGTGATTGTTCTTGCAAATTTAAAGCCGAGGAATATGCGTGGTGTCAAGTCAAATGGAATGCTGATGGCAGCATCTGATGCATCTCATGAGAATGTGGAGCTTCTTGAGCCGCCTGAAGGCTCAGTACCTGGGGAAAGGATATGGTTTGGTTCTGCTGATGAAAAGGAGAATCTCCCTGAGGTGGCTACGCCCAACCAGGTAAAATCTCCATTGTAAAGTTTGATTGCCTATAAGAGGTGGTGCACTAGCCTAAAAGCCAAGAGGCTTCTGTGTGTTATTTTATTAACTTGAAGCAACTAGTCTATGCTATGAGGTTAGTGAGTTGCGGAGGGGAGGGACGTGCTTTCATTGTTTCCTCTATTATCGCTCATTTGACTTGAGGAAATAGGTCACAGTCCAGATTAAGTTTTTGACTGTATATAGGTTACATGCACTTATGATTCAGGTTTTAAAGAATAATTGTGTTTACAGGCGTGTCAAACTCGGAAGGAAATCTTTTGTTTGCAGAAGTTACACTGACCTCACTTCTTAGTGTTTCTGGACCATCAGGAAAGAACTGTTATGCCAAATGGTTTTCTCCCCTTGTATTAAACTAATGTTTTCAGGATAAGCTCTTTGTTTCACCTGCTCTGTTTTAACTAAAGATATCCAATATGTTGTTGGAACTTGGGAAGACAGAAAAGAAATAGTAGGTTTATACCCATTTCTCTCTGCTGCATATGTCCTATGCTTTATATAATCCTGTTCTTCCATCTGTTACTAGACGCCCTCTTTCCCATAACTGTATTTGCAAAATTACAAAAGCGCGGCCTATCATGCGTTTCATGGAGTCTGTCTTACAGATGCTTATCCCACAGTTTCTAAATCTTTATACTACCTATTTACCTCTTCATTTTTTTGGTGTGAAAACCCTTGTGTGCCTTGAAGATCTGCTGTTTCCTGAATTCGGAATTGGAGGGAATTATGTTTAAATCTGTTGAGATGGATATCTGTTGATTTCATGGAGAAGCATTTAGAATTTGCACCTTAAGTCTTTGTTACCATCTCAAAAAAAAAAAAAAAAAAAATTGCACCTTTAGTCTTCTTCTCGAGTTGCTAAGAATAGGGTAGTGTTTTCCAGAAAGAGCTAAGTAGCTTGTCTATAGGTTTCTTAATAGCACTTTTTATTAAAAGCTTTATAGTATATTGCACAGGAGTAAGCACGGGAAATTACGTACTCCTATCGTGTTTGCTTGCTTCTCCTTTTGTAAAAGAAAGTGTTGTGCTCATCCCTATACTTACTTTTTTGTTGGATGAGGAGGGCGGGGGGTAGTTTATTTTCCTTTTGGGCTGACGATGTTCTTCAACTGTATACAGGTAGCGAAAAAAAAGATTTGGGAGCTAGTACAACCACATCTAAAAACAGATGGCGCTTGTGCTGCTACACTAGGAATGCATTCTATGCGAACTTCAACGGGTGTGGTGGTCAGCGGATCTCTTAAGGATGCTACGATATCATAATTATATCCTAAATTTTATGCAGTTTTCTTAAGTTCCTGCAGATTATGTTCCATCTGCCATTCATTGTTATCATCTGATCTTAAGGTTCATGGTCTTCTTTACTAGATAAACCTCTGTGGAAAAGTTTCCTTTGGATCTTATGGCGAATCTTTTCCTCCCTTTCAAAAAGAACAGAGAAGTTGGAATCCTTTGTTACACTCCCCGTTTGAAGAGTGAATTTGCTAGAGAAGGTTGAGAAAATTTAGACCTTTTCCTTTGGTTGAGAGAGAATGAGAAGTAAAATTTTTGGGTTATCCTTGTTTTGGAAAGAAAACTTGTGGGCTCAACAGAGATATTTCTCTTCTTTTCCGTTCAACCAATTTGCATGCCAAGTGAAGAAAATTTTTAATCATATTTTCAAGGCTTGTCGAGAACTAGTATGGCAAATGAACGGTTGCACAATATTATACAAATAGCATTATATATCTGACATTAGCAGAAACAACTTATCCACTCCCATTGTTTGACCACTCAGTCTTTAATCAATAAGCATTCCCACCTCAACTTTATTAATTTGGCATGAAACACCGATGTGCATAAGTAGGTTCTTTTCCCAGAGTAGCTTCTTCCCCTAATTGAAGCCACCACAAATAAACAGATCTCGGGTAGCTCTTGATCACTAAATAAAAGAAGCCAAGAGCTGCCAGCATTGATGCTTCAATGACTGTGTGCGCGCCCGTGCAGGTACATTTTCGGATGACATTATAGTAGATGTTTTAACCAATTAGACAACACAATGTCCGTCAAAACTCTCAGTCAGACGCTGAACTTTCGCCAGCTACTATTCTATATCCCAAACACACCAAAAGATATAATATTATTAACTCAGAGGTTTCATCTATTGTACAATAGCAATGTATGGGAAAAAGAACAGTAAATATAGGATTTTAAATAGAAATATTTGCGGAATCACAAATTGCTAACAAGAAAAGGGAAGCTTGAGCAATCAGTGAAAATTCAAAACCGCATTCTGCAACATTATGTTATAGCGCCAGACCGAGCATGAATAGTTAAGGCAAGCACATCAGTTTAACTGCAGCGGATCAATCCATGGACAACTTGGATTGGTGTTGAATGAACCAACTTGTCTCTCATGACACTATTTAGATGGAGATCATTTGAAGAAAGACTCTTTTCCCTGTCCTATTCGCCTCCCATCATCTGCAAAACAGTAAGTGTTATTTTGCAAAAACTGAAGGAAGAAAAACAAGATTTTTTTTTTTTTAAAATGAACACCAGAAACTGTTAAAAGAAAAGAAAACACTTGTTTTAGTTTGCAAGAAAACCCCCTATACTCTCACTATATACACATAACTACCTTGAAGTTACAGAATGTGTGAATTTATTTTCCATCTAACTAGTGTCAAGTGCATTTTACCTGTAGAAACTAACTCTACAAAGCTTGTTTGAATGAACAGCTGGAAGGGTAAGAACTTAAGTAATGTGATCACTTACAGCAAATAGGTCAAACTAAATTGAGTGGTTTCTGGTTCTTCACTAACTACATGGATTAAAGATTTTGTGTGAGCCACAATGAACCTAATTCAGTAGCGAGAATGAAAACAACTCAGACATCTAGCTAGTGGTTGGACTCAGGTCATTATAAATGGTTTTAAAGTGAGAATGGATAACAGCACGAAGCAAGGCTCCTGGGGTCTAAGTGCTACAACCTGCTTGTGCCGTGTTAGAATCATCTTACTGGGACTAAGTGCAATATCGTGAACAGCGAGATGCACATTGTCCAGGCACCTAGAATCTCATTTCACCTAGAACTGATTAAAAAAGGGGCTTTTTACATTTTTGTTCCAACGAAAGAAATTAATTGCAGGCGCTAGCCAACATATACATTGATTATGTATATTTATATTATATGTATATTTGTGTATATTATATTTATATTTGTATATTATATACAAAACATATACGTTTTCTGGCTATTACTTTGGAGGGCGGCCCAATAAGGTAATTATCCCTAAAAAGAATATCTCACTTCACCTAGTAATCCCAGGTTGAACCAGCAGGAGTGTGAGACCAACATCTAACTTTATGGGGGAGTAACTGCTAGATTGTTAGCAATGGGAGCCATCTCGGGAGCTACATCTAGAATCTCATATCACCTACATGTAGATTGAACCTAACAAATACCGAGGCTTTCATGAAAAACATGCGATCCCACTTCCCCAGTGAATAAGAATGATTCCAAGTGCTTTTATACGGTTTTAGGTTCATTAATAATAAGTTTGTCTTTTTGGAAATGAGGAGAAAATCGGTTTAGGGAGTGAAGAGGGAACCAACAACTTGATTGTCGACTAGTTGACCCCTGGACTTATATCTAAGCCACCTTAGCTGTTGATAAAAACATATTTCCCTACCATTCCACCAGTATGATAATGAAAATGACCTAACCACTTCAAATTAAGAAATTCCTCTCTTTATTCTCCCGAACATAATATGGCAAGTTACAGGATAACAATTGAGAAAGTTGATACACACACACATACATTACATCAAGTTGATATCAATTTACGAAAGCATTAATACAAGCACGCTTAAGCCTCCCTAAATTCTAGCTAGTCATCTATGCAAGCCCGAATTTCCTGTTTATACCAAAGATACAAGGTAGACAAAGGAAAAAGTTGCTGATCATATTGAAAGAGCTTCCTGATTCGTCATAGGATCAGTGGCTCTGGTGGAAGATAGATTTTGATGTTCATACTGGCAATTAAAGCATGCTTCTTGTTATTGGACAAAATAACTGTTTCATTTTCCTCTGTAACTTTTGGGAGATTACCCGTATATGTTCTAATTTGCAAGCACCCCTAGAGGATGGGTTCTCACAGTTAAAAGAACACAAGAGGATAGGTGTAATTAACCCTTTGCTTTTTGTAAGTAAACTCTTAAATTGCAAAAAGTTGATAATATTATAGTACCTTAAAGATATCTCCAAACATGCCTTGAAGAGGATTTTTACGCTGTACGCCATAGAACTTCTTTGCAATTTCATCTAGCAACTAAACCACAGAACAGCAAAAAATGTGAATTAGGAGGAAAACCAGCACTCTCACCTGACAGTGAACAGTGTTATTAATAAGCACAAGAAAAACTACAAAAACAATCATTTATCATAAAGAATGAATGAAAGCACATGACTTTCATATACAAAGCGCTTACCTCATTTAATAGAGGATCTCTATCTATACTAGACTTGTAGCTCTGTCTCAACATGTTAAAGAGAGGTAAAGCATCTCTCTGCAACCTGAAATACAAATTAAGTTGTAACATAGTCAATTAATTGGACATAAATGAAGTAAAAAACATGTGGATGAGCACAAGGCCTCGAGGCTTGGGCAGAATATACCAACTTTGCAAAACCTGACAATAGGGAGGGCGGGGCGGGGAGGAGGAGGGATATTTGTTGAATTCTTGAAAATGGACAGCTTAATAACGTAATAGTCAAGGAAAATGAGAAAGAGGCTTCAGCAACAGCATATGAAATATGAAAATAAAATTTTACTTTTAACACATCAAAAGAAATGTATTCAGAAAACATATTAAGACTTACGTCAGCAAAAGGTAGTTGACAAACTGCATTAATTCTGACTGAGGAAATCCAAGATGCTTCGCCTCCATTTCCTTTTCCACCTCTTCCATGAGCTTGTTCGCATCTCTAAGGTTTCCTAGAGACAAGTACCTGCCAAAAGAGAATGAAAAAATGCAACTATAAACTCAACCTACAGTTAGAAACTAAATGGCATAAAGAAGATTCTTAATTGAAACATCAGACAAATAGAAAATTTAAACAGCTAAAAAAACATATTCTAGTTTATGGCTCTCATCATGGCCTTTTACGGTCATATAAAAATTGATAGGCATATGCATAAGAAGAATGTTTCAAGATGAAAATATAGATAAATTTGTGTCCAAGTGCATTTCTTAAGAAGCCTTGTCACCACGTTCCACCTAGCTTGCATTCTGGTAGCCCATTTTTGTTCCATATAATTGGACTTAAATGAACAAACTGAAAGTCAGTAACTCTGGTTCAAAATATGCACAAAGATTGAATTTCAAACCTCTTATCAGAAACTTAAGCATTGTCTGAGAGATATGTAAGTATGTTTCCAGAAATATTACACTGAAAGGGGCAATAATATGCAGAGCTACAGGTGTGCAAATGCTCGGAAAACTGCAAGTATTTACTGACCTGGTAGTGACTGTTAAAGTGTAAAATAGTCTCTCTTTTTTTAAATAGTTTACTGAAATATAATGCTCCTAATATAGACCAGCACAAATGGGATAAACTCGGTAGAACAGTAACTGAATGCAAGGCACTTAATCATATTATAACTCTGCTTACATCAAAATTGCCCGGGCAATAGCCAAATCATCCTCTCCTGGATAGCACTGCATGTTAAATTGTATGAATTATATCAAATTTCAATCTGTCATTGAGCATCATTAAGTGAATAGCCACAAACAACTTCATGAAATTGTTGCTGTGCAAAAGCAATAAACCCAACAATGGAAAAAAGAGAAACCCTCTTTCCTCGGGAAGCTCTAAATAAACAGGAAAGAGATATGGAGAAAATGGCGATCCAGCTTCTGGACCTTGTAATATCTGCTGCTCATAGCATCGTGTTAGCAAAAACATAGCAGAACAAGTGCTTACCTTGCCCATGAAATTTATGATAGTTGAAGCAAATTTCTTCAGATTCCTTCCTCTAACAAAATGAAAAGATACTTTAACCATGTCCTGCAAATCAAGAAGAATATAAGGAGGTCTACTGCAATTCCAATGATTTGCTAAACCAACTTGAAATTTAGTTCCGCTAATTGCCATCTATCAGAAGCCCCTATCTTTTTCTAATGTCAAATAGCAAAGTACTGCGAGGAAACAATAAGACCACTACTGGTCAAGATACTGCAGTCATGACATGCAAATATATTAGAGCTACTAAAAGCATGTCAATGCATCAAGCTTTTTGGAGAACATACCACTTCAGTAGATTGAGAATATATATAATCTGCCAGCATCTCATGCAACTCTGGAGATCCATACCTATGTGCACCAAATTCTGCTGACCACCTATAAAAGAATAGCATTTTGTCATCGGAAAAGATACTAATATAAATGAGGTTATAGAACATATTTAGAAGAGGACAACATGTCCTCGCTTAATAAAACAACCAAGATAATCTTCTCCGAGAAGTCTTAATCGTGTATGAGCTCTTAAAAGGAGACTGGCATAGCTGTTACTAACCCTTGACAGAAATTGCCACTGGAAAAGATTGCAAGATGAGGTAATCTTTACTGTTTCACACGCAGTAACAAAGAGGCGAAGAGAGTATTTGAAAATGTCTTGCTGGAAGATTGCACTGTGGAGTGGATCCTCCAGAGATGTCTGCAGAATGGACAGTCCAAGTGTTGAAAGGGACTCTGAAATTGAAGGTTTGAATTCTAGGGAACAAATTGCTACTTTTTTTTTTCTTCCAAAAAAAACGAAGACCGAATAAGTTTTGAAGAAAGGTATGGAAGCGTGAGGCCTTTCTTTGATGGATCAATGGTCTTCCAAATAGGATGCCCAGGACTAAGTTTTGAAGAAAAGTATGGACGGGTCTAAATTTAAGATTACCCAACACTCAACAGATTGTTTAAAACGTCCAGCGCTCCTTCTGAAGATCTAAGTAACATTTAGCTAAGTTTTTTATTTTTTCTTCTATCAAATGTCCAATAAGTATGGTACAAATTAACTAAAACCCAAGTCGTTAAAAGCAAACTCGATAGCAAATCAATGCGAGTATAATATACATAGTCAACAGCAACAGAATTCAAGCAGCTAAAATGATATGTTTTTAAGGAATTATACAAATAAAAGAAATATGGAGGAATTTGTGGAAGGACCAGAGAGAGAGTATCTAACTTGATAGAGGCTTTTAAAAAGGAAGAACAACATTCTACTCGGGTTTTGGCAGCCGCAATGGCTTCAGAAAGTTTTTGCATATCATCATCATCAGCGAGGTCCAAATTTTGTGGCACTGAAGGTCGAGGAAACTTCTCGTAGATTTTCCTGACACGGTCTAAGGAGAATTGCATTATAATCAAGTCAAGACTAAAACTACTCATTAAGCATCAATAACAGAAAAAGACAAGCAGTATAGCTGAAGTTACACTTTATGATACAGCAATGAAGTCGCATAAGGATCTAATACATGCTGGTTAAGTTTCAGGACATTTTGGTATCTTTTTCCTAGTCTAGTCCCCCCACCCACCCCAAGTAAACAGCTATAATATGTTGCCAAAGGAGGACTAATTAACGATTATTTAATTTTTCACACTCCCTCTGTGTCAAGGTGATTATGTTACTTTGACTTTATAGAGTTATCAAGAGAAGAAATAAAATACATAATGGGTGAACACATAGGTCCACATGCTATGTTTGGATCTTTTAGAAACGGATAGGGAAAGCTCGTATAAAGAACAATAGATATAGGTCCCTAAACTTTTAATGAAATATTATTCATTTGAAGTTGTTTATTATCTTTTTATAAATCAAAATGCATTCATTAATTGTACAAAGCCAGTCTAGAAATTACTTTCATAATAATCAAAGGTTAAGCCTTTTTTGACTATCCTGGCCTCCCTTCTCACAATACAATAGGTGTATCATCTACTTTGATCAGTGTGTTTATAATTGGGTATCCTCTCTTAATGCAAAAGGACTTTCTTTTTATAATTTTGGCGCCAAGAGAAAGAGAAAACATGAATATTCATTCTGAAAAGGGGGACGTACCACTTAATTAGCTTTTTTTCTCAATATCCCTTTCTGCATATTAGATTTTGGAACTAAAAAAGTTGTAATATTTTAACTTTGTATTGTATCATTAATTTCAATAAGTTGGAAAGGCGAATGATTTGCGTACATATTCTTTCTAGTTCTTTTGCTGGGCATTTTATGTCAATTTTGTGCTAATACATGCTGCTAAACAGAATAACTGCCAGGTTAAAAGTATTCTCAGTAAAATCTTCTAAATTTCACTAATAAATACTTGAAACTTTTTTTTTTTGAACATGTTAAGATGTTTCTTTGAGAAGTATAGCAATCTATGAGTAAAATAAGTGAAAAAGGGAAATCAATCCCGTAGACAAGAGGCGTAGAATACAGAACTATGATCTAGAGTACAGTTGATTCCTGTAGACAAGGGTATATAACAAGGCTCTAGAGAGTAGAACTATAGTTCCCATCTATAAAATCGACCAGATCATATTAACTTGTTGGGATGTCATGTACACCAAACATTTATTAAATTCCTCAATATGATGAATGGTCCTCCCTTTCCTCCAAGCATCTTTGGTTTCTTTCCCTACATATGGTCCAACACACTCCTTGAGGTACTTAGTTCCAGGTTTTCCCCTCTGATTTCCATATCCTCTAAACTTCCAAGCCCCAAGAACGATTTGACACTGCTTGACATCATTCACTTCAACCAAAAAACTGATAACGGGATTCCAAAGATTGGCAGCAATCTTACTGTCGTCTTTAGGTGGTGGATGTCCTCTCCCATTTCCTTCTCCTCAAGTTCTCATCAAGAAGTATTACATTGCATATGCAGCTGTTCACATGAACGAATTATCTTTCTTAGGTGCTCACTTTTCCTATCACCTTTTAATGGGAAGTTCCCCGTATTACTTCTCGCCAAGAGATTATAAAAGTAAATCAAAAAATTTCCGACTACTTTGCAGACATAAATATATCATTATTATATGAAATATATAAAAGGGTAAGTAAATCATCCAGCTCCTCCCACCCCAACAATTTATGGCTCTTCTAAATTGAATGTTGCAAAACATTTCCGCCATTTCCCATTTGGCAATCTCCCCATAATAGCTTCCTGATTTAAGGAGCTGTAGAACTAGAAATAAGTTGGAAAATTCCTGAACTTTTTTTGGGATATTCATGTATACCAAATATTAAAAAGTGTGATAAAACAAGGGTCGCACAATTCTCAGCTTGACAAATTATAAAGTGCATGGGATAGGAAAATTTACCAGATGGTAAAAAACATAAGAGCAGACATACCAAGAGTTTCTTCGTTATAAGGAACTTCTCCTTTTACAAGAGTTTCAACAAACAACAATGCAAGCTCTGACCCACAGGTGACCTGCAAAATGTCAAAATCTTCTATCATCAATAAATAAGTAAAAGACGTTTTTGCTTAGTCTTCAAATAAGAATCAAGATTATTTTGAATTTCAAGTTTCAAGTATATTTTAATGACATTACCAACTCCACCAAGTCTACATTTTTCATGTGCTTACTTAAGTTTGAATCATGAAGCAATCCAAATTACATAGTACAACTTAGTTGCAAGTGGTAAGTTTATCTGCTGAATTGTCCACAATACATATAAGCTATCTTCCTACTGGGAATACGTCAGGAAAATTGAAAAAAAGTGTAAACAACCCCCCCCCCCCACCCCACCCCCCTAAAAAAAAAAAAATTATAACACTTTTTTTCATTTTAGAACAACAATAACATAATCAGTGTATTCCAACGAGTGGGTCTGGGGAGGGTAGTGTGTACGCAGACCTTACCCCTACCTTGTGGAGGTAGAGAAGTTGTTTCCAGTCGACCATCAGCTATTTTTTCCATTTTAGAACATCCCAAAATATTGACAATGTTTCATTGTATACAACTTTCACAACCTCCAAGATTCAAGTTTATAAATTATTCAATCTTTAAACTTCGATACAATGTCTTTTGTATCAAACTAACTTTTCAACCATCACTAAAATACTTCCTTCTACTATTACTAATTTTTTTTGTTTCACAATAATATCCGGCCAACTTGTGTGCACCTCGACTATTCCACCACCTACTACCTCCCACTAGCATAGGTACCAAGTATCTTTGTCCACCGGCCAAGACTTAGGTAGAACCTTCTACTAGCACTAATATAACATATTACTCAAATTAGCATCTTAAACGCTGGGGCTCAGTCAAATACAATCAAATAAAATTGAGAAGGTTATGCAATTTCCATAGGAGTGAATAGATTATAACCTGTCCATTCTCCAATTGTAAGCAAGCACCACACTGAAGAATATCCAAAGCTTCAGAATACCTCTCAGCAGACACATATCTAAAAGCAAAGCATATTAACTGAATTCAAGATTAACCCTTTTAGAGTTGAGGCCAAATTATCAAAAGGGATTGCTTACCTAGCACTAATAGACTTGAACATCTGTTGAGCTCCATAGTAATTTCCTTGTTTTACTACTTTTTCCAACTTGTCAATATTCTGCAAAATTATAAATCGTGTAAATCTGACATCCTTATGCAAGAAAAAATTGCCATAGATTTATAGTAAAGGGTTAATTCAGATTTAGAAGAAAACAAATTGATGAATCTGGAAACTGAAGAAGTAGAGTTAAATGGCACCTCCTGAGCTGGAGGCAGTGTCGCACGTTTGGCTCTCTCTCGAGACATCTTCTTTTTCTTTTTCTTCTTCTGTCAAAGACGAGATGACCAGTACAAAGAATCGGAGTTCTTAATGATATCTGAAAAAATAAAACTGCAGTTCAATTGGAATACTATTGAATTGATTTTTTTGTGGAATATGATTTGTTGTATTAATAAGAGATACGCGACGTATAATTTGAAATATAATCTGTTTAATTTATTCAAATAAAAGATTTTCTATGTAAGTTAATTTTTCTCATTTTAGTTGATTAAGTCTAATGTATTATTACTTTAATTTAATTATCAATTCACATTTTATTTATAATAAAATAGTATAAATTTTTGGATTAACTTATGTGGGTGTCCATAATCCATTACATGATATATATAGGTGTATGACATGTTTGGGAGGAATAGGTGTTCTAGTAATATTAATATTTCAAATTCACCTATTCCGGGACATAGGTATATTTCTTTACAATCATTTTACAAAAGGATAGTTACCTGTTGGGTAAATTTTTAATATTTAGAACTTGTTTCTAGATGTATTTACATGGAATTCTAAAACGCGTAGAGAGAATTTCATTTTATTTTTAACAGAAAATGCAGTTATTGCCATCCGAAAACTTTAGTTGGCTAAGGAGAAAAGGTATTTGTTGGCATACCATTTGTGGACGCGGGAAAGAGTCCATAGAATGTTATGCCTTGATAGCAACAAAGCCAACTAGCATAACCGATTCGGTGATCGGTGGGATGCCGTAGCTTTAAGAGATAGGGGCGGAGACTTGTTGGGACTCTTTAGTACCTGGCTAATTATCGCTATACATAGCTCGAACTTACAACATAGAAGGGAGTGATCAGCCCATTTTTATAGGACAAGTCGAGATCATCTTACTTAGAAGCTGCTTTTCGAATTCTGCGATACATCAAAACCTCACCGGGAAGAGGTTGATTCTTGTCCACGTCATCCTCTCTTCAGCTGTCTTGTTATCATTATACTGATATTATTAAGACAGTAGATATCAAGTCTCCTATCTATTATTGAAGTTGTAAAGTCTCATATCAATTCCACGTGGATAAAAACACTTTGACCCAACTTGTAAAGTTGTAACGTTACATATGAAGTCTGTACTTGATTAACTTTTCTTGAATTTGATTTCCGTATTGAGCGTAATTTATATGCTTTTTTGAAAAATTATAAAGTATGATTTTCAAGACTTATTATAACTTAAGGAAAAATAGACTTATCACCACTTTAATTTGAGAATTAAAAATTTAAATGATAAACAAATACAGAGTTTTAGAAAAAATGGATATCCAAAATTGACCCGTTTAAAGGTACAACATTAAGGAACTCCATCTTGTGTTGTTTTTCAGTACCAACAATTATACTGATGAAAAGAAAGTTTCGTAGGCATTTACTTGGCTCATCGATTTTGCAATTTGATAAATATAGGACTAATATTTGATTAAAAATACGGTACAATAACAACAACAATAACAAAGACCCAATATAAATAAAAAGGCATAAAGTTTGTGAAAACCTATGTCTACGTACTTATCAATCTGCGTGTCTGCATTAGTTATAAAATTAAGTTTATCGCAGTTTCATTCAAGTGGGTATGTATCAGATTTTTTAATGTGGTTTGCTATTCAAATAATCGTATTATTGAAAATAATACGATTATAACTAAGGGGCTACTAGTAGAGAATATACACAAAATACACACAGGAACGGCTCAAAATAAGACCTGGGCAGATTGGTTTAATTAATATTGGGGTCGAAGATATATATATGTGTTGGTTTGATTTTAATATCTATACATACTGTGTTTTCGTTATTATATTATCAGCATATTAATTTATATTTTATAATGAAAACCAATTTTTTTCTTCTTATATCTCAGTTCAATCATTAAAGAACGTGAAATCTCATTCTTCGCTAGCACAAATACTATGCTTACAAAAATTGAATTCATCAGTCTTATAAATCTGCCGCCCCAAACATTACTCATGCAACATAGTAACAGACTAACAGGTATGTAAATGATCACATCATTCGCTCCATAGTCTGATAGATCGTTTAAAGAACTGATTAATCAAGACAAGAATACAGAAACACTTGAGAGTTGGCCTACTAACTGAAGTTTCTGTATTCTTGTCTGATTAATCAAACATAGAAAATGCTACTTCGATTACAACTAGTGCAGTCTGAATCAATGAACAAGAAAGAAGATATTACTTACCAAAAAAGGGAAGAAGAAATGCAACACAAGTGTAGATATAACCAATGCTGTCCTCAGGACAATGAAAACACAGTAACTATTAGCTAAAGTTGAAGGCAACAACTCCTTGATACTTCTTGCTAATGGGTTCAGTAACGAGGAATATTTGTGAAAAGGAATTCAACAAGACGTAAGAATATTGAAAACAATGAATAAAACTTCTTATAAGAGAAGATATACAACAACTAAAGCTGTCAAAATAAGACCTCCAACCGCAAAAAAGAGCAGTAAAGTATTATGATCTGATAAAGAACTAAAAATTGTTAGCTGCAGAACTATTTGGAAACCTGAAAGATAAGAGATTAATCGTAAATCTTTCAACCAAACTGTGGGAAGAATGACAAGAACTCTAATGATTGAAACAAGTGCATGGAATCCAATCGAGAACAAAACAAAGTTAATGTGTGCTCCAGGGTGTAGCGTGAGATTATCTCCTTCAAGTATAATAAATTCTACACAAAAGGACTGCAAGTCAAGGAAGAGTTATAAGGAACTGAGCAATGTCAAACGAAACCAAACAATCTGCAAATCTGGCTGAGGATTGCATCTATTACATATAGCTCTATGTACAAAATAATCTGCTCAAAACCAAGAAAACCATAGGGTAGCAGCATACAGTCATTTTGAAACCACCACTTGATTATTGATTATATTCATTTTGTACTCCGACATACTTAATCCTTTCCACTTCATTGACTTGTTTATTTTGCTTTCCCCCCTTCCCTCTTATCTCAGTCACCCGAAATGACCAAGACCTTTCATGCACTCAGATGGATACTTATAGTTCTGACATATGAGGACTTGTCAAATGATTTTGTTAAACAGCAAATAAAGGGGATATTAATTCATCTATAATTGCTGAGAGTAGCAAACTTTTTGTTGGGCTTGTATGTCGCTATATTCACGATAAATGAATAAGGCGCTGCCATGGCCTTTGACATAGTAAACAAACATCCCCTGGCCACTAGCCTATAACTAGGCAATAAGCTGTATTTATATCAGATGAAAGAAAAGAGACCTTATGGTCTTTGAAGCAACAACCAACTATTTCCTTGATCCACTAGCTTATAATTAAGTACAACAACAACAACAACAAAAAAAAACCCAGTGTATTCCCAAAAATGGGGTCTGGGGAGGGTAGTGTGTACACAGACCTTACCCCTACCTTATAGAGGTAGAGAGGTTGTTTCCGATAGACCTAGCCTATAATTAAGTAATACGCTGAATTTATAAACTTACAGATAATAAAATACGTCCATAGTTTTCAAAAGCAGCTTCTCCCATGTTGGGGAACAACGTGATTCCCTCTTTGCTTTCGAAGCAATATCACATAAGACCAGCAGTATAACAACAGACTAATGCAAAAAGAACAAGCACTAGCATGCTTGCCCAACCTGCTTCTTTCACTGTATATGGTGTAAAAAGAAATCCAACTACAACCATGACATTTTCCCTGTTTCATAGCAATAGAAGCCCTTGAAATTCCATAAAAGCCAAACCATTCAATTAATCAAGGAATCACTGGAATGCAACCGTGGCCAGAAAATTAAAGAAGATAAGCACATTATTGATAACAAGCATTGCAAAAGATGTAAAGGCCGTCCCCGCTACTAAGTATAAAGTTTCCATTTCAGTGATTTTGTTCATTTATCCTTTCTCTTCATGCTTGAACCTTGTTCTATTTTAAAGAAGAAACTTTACAAAGCCAAAGTTGTAAAAAAGTTGATTCAATAAGTTTCAGCCAATAAGAGGAAAGAAGCAGGAAGTAACTGCAGTTTTAAGCATCTACCAGTTTCATCTATAATTACCCTCAACAAAATCCCAAAAACACCGTATAAAGTACGAATTATGTGATGATAATTGGTGATTAATGATAGGTAACAAGCTGACAACAAATGGTGAGAAGGGCTTACTTATCATTAATAAGAAGTAATAACAATTATTTTTTCAAACCAAATAAAAATGGTATTTATTGTCAGATAAAAGTAGCTACAGATTTAACAATGCAAGCATAATGCTGCTAGGATCGCAGACTGCTAAGACAGGACCAAACTAGAGTACATTGAAGACATTCATGACTGTTATACATGATTTTTGTGGAAATACAGTATAGAACCAGAAGCCTAGAAACATTCAAAAGGAAAGCAAAAACAAATTGTTGAATTGAATGACACTAGGTTTGTAATTCTTGGCAGCTTAGGCAAGAGACTCCCACTCGTTGTTTTCTCTGATTAGCTATAGGGGCATTGAATTTTAGGGGTCTAAACCAAGAGCTTTATTGGCCTAGAGGTGGAGTCGCCCTTGGTAAGACAGGATGGCCAAACTGAATATCTATGGGACTATGGCCATAGCTCGTATATTGCATGCCTGTCCAATGAGGATGATAGGCAGTAGCATTCATGGTCAACATGTAATTCTCAGCAACAACATGTTCTTGAGTGACTCTCCATTGCTTGTTTACAGCAGCACCATCAAAAGGCATGCTTGGTTTCTTCCTTTTCTTCATCTTTACTGCCTCCCCAACAGCTATTGGACACTCTTCTACAGTCTTTAAAGCCCTAGAAGTCTCTTCTTTTTGAGAAGGTACAGATAATATCTCTACCTTCACAGCTGCAGACTCTGATGGGAATGGTACTTTAGGGAGGGAATTGTGTTCTGACACCATATCTTGAACTCGAGGAGCACTAACCCCATGCTCTGAACTACTGCTATTAGACTTGTTGATTCTGTTTATTGTGTCTCTTAGAGTCATGTTAGGCAAGAGGGTGTCAGCGAGTATATTTCTAGCCCCGCATACGCAAATAGAGTTAGAGATAATATGTTCCCTTATACATTTGTCGCAGAAACTACTA